GGGTGTCAATGGCTCCTTTCTCCCCTCCCCAACCCTCACCTGCGTTTTTCCACCACAGACGCTCACTCCCTTTGCTATGACTTCACCGTCAATCTGAAGCCCACACCTGGACAACCGTGGTGTGAAGTTCAAGGCCAGGTGGATGAAAAGACTTTTCTTTACTATGGCTGTGGCAACAATGTCAAGCCCTTGGGTCCCCTGGGGGAGAAGGTGACTATCACAGAGTCCTGGGAAGAACAGCCTGGAACTCTGCGTGATGTGGCGGACACGCTCAAACAGCAACTGGCTGGCATTCAACTGGAGAATCACACAACCGGGGGTAAGTGTGAAATGGCCCAGCACGGGAGAAAGCAAATGCTGTGGTAGGTTCAGGCACTTATTGTTTCCATGTAAAAAAAAAAATCAGAAGGTGGTCCCACCAAGGAGGTCCCACAGCAAGTTCAGGGTGTGGAGGAGAGAGCGGATCCAGGAGATAGGAAGGGGACAGGGTAGGGCAAGGACGCATCACAACCCAAGGCTCATCTCTTTCCCACAGGGGCAGGTCCTCTCTCCCTGCAGGTCAGGATGTCCTGTCAGCGTGAAGCCAGTGGACGCACCAGTGGGTCCTGGCAGTTCAGCTTTGATGGACAGACATTCCTCCTCTTTGACCCGGGGAACAGAGAGTGGACAGAGGTTCATCCTGGAGCCAGATCGACATGGGAAAATGACAGAGATGTGACCGACTTCTTAGTGAGGATTTCAATGGGAGACTGCAAGAGGTGGCTTGAGACATTTTTGGAGCACTGGGAGAAAATGCTGGAGCCAATAGGTAAGTGAGAAGCGGGGAAGGATGGGGAGCTGTGCTGAGATGTGAGGTACTTACCCTGTGTGTGTGTGTGTGTGTGTGTGTGTGTGTGCGCGCGCGCGCACATGCATGTGTTGTGTGTGGGCATGTGCGTGTGTGTGTGCATGTGTGTGTGTGAGAAATACATCATTATCTCGCACATACAAAACTGCCTCAAATGCCAGCTCCTGAGACCCTTCCCTACCACCATCCTCATATGTCACCTTGTCTTCTGCCACAGCATCAGAGTGGGTTACATTGTCACCTGGCTTCCCTCAGCAGCTCTACGAGCTCCTTGAGGACAAGACCCATCTCCTCTCTCCCTTCCTACCAGGACCTGTCCCAGTGACTGCCACATAGCAGAGGCTAGCAAATGTCTGCACTGCTGGATGACCTGGGGCAGCAGGAGCTGAGAAGGGATCTCCTCAGATGTGGGGTCTAGACAAGGACCGTCACGCTTGTGTTTCCATTTCAGCACCACCCACCACAGCACCAGTCATAGCCCACTCCAAGGCCACAGCCATCATGCCCAACGACAGGACACTTCTTGTGATCCTCATCTGCTCCATCCTATTTGGCATCCCAGGGAGAATCCTATAGGATGACAGGTACTGAGCGCAGAAGTGAGAGGGCAGCCACGGGCGGGTGGTAAAGTCAGAGGATGGGAAAGTGAGTTCCCAGAGCCCACCCCTGCCCCACAACTGGACCTTCCCATCCTGGGGATGAGACAAGGTGAACAAGACCTCATGTCACTTGATAGACCTGACATGGGCAAGCTCAGCCCTGAGGTCTGATGAGTCCTCACTGTCAAGGGCCAGCAGGAGAGGGAGGGGCCATACCGAGGCTCAGGGCTGTTGACACCAGAGAGGGCTTAGTGACTTCAGGCCTGTTTCAGACCAGATTACTATTCGGGAAGGGCCCAGAGGCGGGTGGTGTGGAGACAGCAGGAGCACAGGCGTGGGCAGTGCTCACAGTCAGGCGAGAACAGCGGGGAGCTCTGCATGATATGTCCATGGGGAGGAGATTCCAGTCAAAAGGCTTAGAGCAGAGCAGATTAGGTCTAATTCCAGCAAGAAGGGGCTGCAATCACTTTGTACATCCAACAGAAAATGTTGGAGTTCAGGACTACATTCTCAGGGAAAGTGGCTTGGGTCCCAGCAGTTATAGCAGAATGCTGACAGTAGAGACTGTTCAGGATGAGGCTTAGAAGAGTCTGGCTCCCTTGGACCCTTGGGAATCCTGGCTGGGCCCTGGGGCAATGCCAGATCCTGAGCCAGCTGAGCATATCCTGCCTTGAGCAGAGTTGACTCTGGAGATGGGGGGTCTGAGCTGCTGCTGGTGTTCCATGTCCCCAGGTGAGCTGACTAGGAATGGGTGGGGTGGGGCAGGGACAGTCACACTCAGAACTGTGTGTGCTGCTACCAGGTGAGGGGAGGCTGAAGGAGAAGGGGAAAGAAGGATGTTTCCCTGAAACCCTACCAAAGGCCAGAGGAACCAGGGTTCGGGCACCTCTCTTTTGACAGGGCTCCCCCTGGGACCTTTAGGCCCTCCCATCAGGGGGTATGAGGACCTGAGTAAGGGGCAGACCCACTCATGACCAGCTTGAGTCCTGAGCC